CCCTGGGATCATGACCTGAGCCAAAATTGAGTTGGACACTCAACTGACTGCGCCACTCAGGCACCCCAAACTTTGAATTTAAACAACTTAGAATACCCTCTACTCCAAGGATTATGGTTAACTAAGAATTTATTCTTTTTTAAAAAGTCTTTTATCACGAAAATACTCAAACATATTAGTAGAGAGAGAATAGTATAGTGAACACCTACTTCTGATAACTATCACTGTTTTATGTATACTGTCACCCATCCTGTCCTGCCTCCCCATCCCACCCACCATGTACACATTCTGAATTATTGTAACACAAATACGAGACATGATATCCTTTGATAACTGCTTGCCGTATGGATTATGGATTCTGTGCTGCCCTTGGCTGCGTTAGGCCAGTTGAAACTATAAATGATCATGGCTTTTGTTGGTTTGTATTTTTTTTCCTCAGAGAAAACTAGAAGACTTTTTGCAGTTTTTCCTTTACTGGGATTACATTGACATTGACATCAACATTTACCATCACTTGGTAGTCAGTGTCCTGGTGCAGGGCTAAGGAATGGAGTCCCCTTATGGGTCCCTTTTCTTTAAGATGTAACTTAGAAAATGTGGTTTCATTCAGATGTAGACTTTTTGGGGATACAATCTTTAGGTTCATGTTGCTTTCTCGAAAGTGAACTGGTCCTACAGATCGGAGTTGTCAATATCCTTCTTCTGTTAGACAAACCACAGTGAAACTGGAAAAGAAGGGGACATGGGAAAGGTGGCTGATGAGAAGATGCTCAGCGGGCTCACAAAGGACCTGCAGAAGAGGTGCGTGCCAGTGACCGCAGGGCTGACAGACCCTTTGCACACGCTCTGCTCTTTTAATACTTGGGGCAGTTTTTCTGTGTCTTCTTTGCACTGTGAAATGAGTTAATATAGACCAACTTTTAAAAAGGCATTTTTCTGCACCATTGGCTGGAATGGGACAAGTGATATTTTATTTCCAAATGAGAAACTAGAAGAACCTGCTTATAAAATGCATCTGAAATATTTCTTTGTTTCTGCTTAGTTTGTTCACTGGACATGTGTATTCATACTTGATGAAAGAGCCTTTGTTCCTAGAACTGCAGTGACCCAGCTAAATACTTGCCTCTTTGTTTTATAGCTTGCCTCCCCTCATGGCTCAGAACCTCTCTATACCTCTGGCCTTTGCCTGTCTCCTACATTTAGCCAATGAAAAGGTAGGTAAATCTGGTAAGCATGGGAGTATTCTTTGTTCATAGCAACCTGTTTGAGCTCTTAATTAGATCTCTCACGGGCAACCTCATAAGACATCTTAAATACAGTGACTTATGCGGTACTTTCAACCCAGAGGATTAACCATGCACTTAGAAGTAACTTAGAAAAAGGCCACTGGGTGTGATTAGCAACGAAAATAATGAGGAGGACCCAACTGGGGAAATTTTTAGGTGCTGAATTGTGATCTGTCAGTTCCCAACTTTAAAACATAAAGTGCTTTTGTATTTTGGGGTGTCGGAGGCTTTAAAGGGCAAATCCTGCCGGTGCCAAAGTCAAGACACATGGAGATGTGGTGGAGGACGGAGGGCCAGGTGAGGATGAAAGGAAAATTGATGCAGGGAGAGGATAGTGAGACATGGAGGCCATGGCCAGCAGGGCTGCACCACCAACAATGCCAGGCTCCGCAGTGTGCCACGCCAGCCAGCAGAACTGAGCAGCTGTGGCACAGTCACCAGAAGAGCGGGCAGGGACCCATCTTCCCAAGAGTGTGGTGGCAGCTACCCAGGAGGCAGCCCGGTGAGGCAGCCAGCAACAAGCCCCAACAAGTGGCACTGCATGAGGCTTTGTACCCTTTGTATCCTTTCGTGTCCTTAGGCAGCTGGTCCCTCACGTAGACTTTGGCTCTTGAAGTAGAGCATCACTAGGGTTGGGCGTGTCTCACTGCTATTGTGCACCACAGCTGTGGATTCTAACCTCCTCCAAGACCGGAACCCTGCCCCAGAGCCGAGAGTGTGGTGCCTGTCTGAACACTGAAGAGTGGTTTGAGAGGATTGATAAGATTGCACTGGAATGCCAGCAAAAATGGGGTGCTGCAGAAGCACCCAGGATTTCCTGTGTGCCAGTGCCTGACCTCTGGCCTCGTAATTAAAATGACGCAATGATAATCGGCTGTTTCGCGGCTCTGGGCTTGCTTGGACCGAATGCTGGGCCCGAAGGCGAGGGGTTCCCTTGCAGGATGACCCGTGTAGGATAGCCTTCAGCCTATCCACGTGGACCTCCCACTGGGAGTCAGGGACCACGTTTTCTCTTTCGGAGGTCATGACCTCACTGAAGAAGAAGAAAGTGTCCATTTGGCAGAAGCTAGTTTTGAGGCTGGGCGGGGAAGAGATGTGGAAGAGCCAGTGAGCCAGGACAGGTGCTGCCTGTGTGCACCTACGGTGCTGACTGTTGGGCCCGGGCGTTCACTACTGAGGCGTGAACAGAGCAACCCAGCTTAGCTTCTGACGGGAAGAGCTTATACATTAGAGCTACCGTGGTTGATTGTTGACCCAGGAACATTGAACTCACATGGCTGCTGGGTGAAAGGTAGTAAGCAGCAGTGGCTGACTGGAGGGGTCATGTGCCCTGTTCAGAACTCCTGAAGACAAGGCTAGGGGACACACAGCCCCATCCGTGGTTGTGGGAGATGGCGGTGAGAATGGCTCCGTGTGATTCTTGACATGTTCCAACTTATCCAATGTCAGAAGCAAACTACATGAAGAAAGAATAACTAGGAGGAAAAAAAAAACCAAAAAGATATTATCATCCTGACAAGAAATCCACAAATGGCTCTGAGGAGGATTCCCCATCTGAAGAGGAGGGCACACAAGCCATCCATCTGTCTGACATTCAGAAGTGTGACTGTAAAGCTGTTCTGGGGGAGGCCTGGAACCTCACACCATCTTTACGGACGTAGGTGCTGGTGAACTCTCCCTCTGGGTGTGTTCTCCTAGTACACACAGGCTCCTAAAGCACAGGGTGCCCCCAAAGCTCAGAAACCCTCATCTTGAGTCCAAATTGAGAATGTTACTGATTTCACTCAATTGCACCAGTCTGAGAATCGGTGGTGCCCTGGGCTGTGTGTCTCTGCAGAAGCCTGCCTCTTCCCTGTGAGAGAGCGGCTGTATGATCTACACTCGGTTCCCAAATAGACCGGGCCGAGGAAACCCTGCTAAAAAGCATCGGTGATTTTGTGGCCTCACTGAGGCACATAATGCTCTGGCTCCAGCACTGCGCTGCTTCCCCCATCAGCAGGGCCGGGATTGTTGTGCTGTGATCGAGTGTGTCTTTAGGGGCCCAGAGCGCTCAGCATTTAAAGGATGGGGAGATGGCACCAGACCAGAAACCCTTGGGCTAAGCGCTGAGGGAGGCCCTTGCTGGGTCTTGGCTTTGGGCTGTTTGAGAAGATTTGACTGTGACATTGACCCTGTCAGTTACCATGATAGTCTGCAGGGGTCTGTGGTAACTCAGTTTAGAACCACCAAGAGAAATTTCACAACGCTTAATACCAGAACATGACTCCCTTGTGGCCTTCTTTCTCCCTGTCTTTCACTCCCATCTGGACTCTTCATCAGCCACTCTGGGAATGAGCTCCCCTGAGAAGTGCGACGGGGCTTGGGGTGCAGTGGTGGACGCTGGGTCTCCTCTACCTCTGTGGGCCTGAGTGTCAATATGGTGTGACTGATTAGCCAAACCTGAACCGCTTCTGGAACCTGAGTCGTAGAAGTCACACTTCAGGGGGGTATGATTTTAGCTTTCCATCATTAGCAGTACAGGAAGGTGCACCAGAAAGGGTGGTGTGGTTGCTGAGTGCCAGCACATCGTGCCTGCCTCCAGTGCCAAGTGAGGGGAGGTATGCTTGTGGTGAGCTTAGGCAAGACAGGCCTCTGGCAATTGTTTGGTCCTAAAGGAAACAAGTGCCTGGGATTGGTGGGGAATTCATGGGGTGGGAGAGTGGGGGTGTTAGGTGGGGGAAGAGCTGAGAGGTAGGGAAAGGCCTGAGCAGATGGAGCGAGGGGGCTGTCACGGCCGTCCTCAGGGATGAGGTTATGGGGCAGGGAGGGGGAGGGCCTGGACAAGGCCACACATGGACAGGGTTAACAAGCATGTGTTGTGTCTCCTGGTGGCTTCCCCATCCGCTTTTCGTTCCTTCCAGAGCAAATAGCTTAGCTCTTGGGCCCGTTACAGAGAGAGGTTGTTGCAGGAACCAGCACCAGGAAGCCTTTCTTTTTGCCTTTTTTCCCCCTGCAGTTGGCAAGGATTTGCAATTAGCTTTATTATGCAAGTGATATTTGCTATAACATAATTTTCTTACAATCATGGGACTAAGTTCATTCTTTGTAGTCACCACCCTGTTACCTTGATTAGAATCTGTTCATGTGTTTGATCTTCCTTCAGAATCTAAAGCTGGAAGGAACTGAGGACCTTTCCGACATTCTTGTGAGGCAAGGGGATTGAGTTTGCCCGAGAAGAGTTGGCAGAAAGGGGCTCATCGCTTCTTCGGTGACCAGGACGTCCCCACTCTGGGTGCTGCAAGTGCGGCAGGCCTGTGGCAAGGCTGTAGCCCACTACCAAAGTGCCAGGTTTTTTATCTGTTGCTCTTCCCTTCTCTTCCTCACGGTCTGGGAACCAGCACCCTGAAGCTCTTTGATTAAAGTTTCCTGCCCTGTAGTGACCACAGGGAGGAGATGGTGAGGGCACTGTTCTTGATTATGAAAACCTATATCCATGTTTTGAATTCATGTCTAGTTTTTGCCTCCTCAGTTGATCTTTGTTTTTTTCCACACTTTTGTAAAAAATTATTTCCCAGTAGGCACTGGTTGTCTTTAAACAGCTGTCTAAGCCACGTACATAAGATACATCGTCTGTGCACTTACAAATGTATATATGTTATGTCTGCTTAAATAAAATCATTCTGAATCATATGCTTGACAAAATATTTGACTATCTTCTAGGTAAGTTTTAGAGCTGGTGCTTTCCCTTAAGGGGGTTGCAGTCTTGTTAGCTTGATGAGGTACCTGTGTGTCAGTAAAGGCAGGAAACACTTAAGGGCTGAGAAGATTGGTCTTGTAACAGTAGAGGAGAAAGAAACCACTGGCTGGAGGTTCAGATTTCCAGATTGGGTCCATTGGGCCTATGAATTCTGCTGGAGGGTGACGGTGGTAAAAATTGCTAACCTTTGTTAAGCGGCTACCTCCCGTGGATTACTTCACTCAGCCTTCTTAGCATCTCTGTGAGGAACATAGTTTCATCACTCACCTCTTACAGAGGAGAAATAGGTACCTGAAGGTAAAGGAACCTGCCTAAGGGCAGACAGCTGTCAGAGACTGATCTTGAACTAATGTGCTTCTTAGAGTCTGTTCTTAGCCACTGGTACTATATGCTGCTCAGATCACAGGCTCTGCCTGTAGACATTGATCCAAGTAATTCTCTCCTTGGCAGGTCCTCCGTCTATCAGAGCACCCTGTCACCACTCACTGGGTAAATAGAGATCTTGGATGTTAGATCAGAAGCAGAGAGGTATTTGATTGGCGATAGCTCTTGATAATAAAGAACTTATTTCTAAGCCAAAAACCACACAAAACACACCCCAGAACGTGCTTCCCAAATCGTGTCCAAAAAATGTTACCTGTTCTGCCACATTGAGAGGGTAGACTTGTGAACATGCGTTAGAGGAAAAGGCGGTGATGCTGAGTGAGGATCCCTGTCCTGCTGGGGCTGAAGTCCCCCCATGCCTTTCCCCTGCCAGGTGAGTGCTGCCTCTCCTGCTCTGCTCTTACTTCTGGGAGTGCAACCAGCCAAGCCCGTACACTCCTCTCTAGTCCTGTTTCCCAGGGATGATTCTGTTCAGTAAAGCAAGGAAGAGCCTGTGTTTGTTCGTCTGCACATCAGGTGTACCACATGCACTGCTCAGAGCTGACGAGAGAAGCAAAGTGCTCCTCTGGGCTCCAGTCACCAAGCTGCCTCGGATTCTTCCAACAGTGCTGAGTTCATCACATTTTATTCTTTTTGATAAAAATGATTTATGACATGGGGTGCCTGGGTGGCTCAGCATCCTACTTTGGCTCAGGTCATGATCTTGCGGTTCGTGGGTTCGAGCCCCACATTGGGCTCTGTGCTGGCAGCTCGGAGCCTGGAGCTTGCTTTGGATTCTGTGTCTCCCTCTCTCCTTGCCCCTTCCTCACTCATAGGGCCTCTCTCTCAAAAAAAAAAAAAATTCTGAAGGAAAAGGCGATTTCATTTGCATACCTTTGTAAGATTTCCATATGCACAAAGTCTCAAATCAGAGGGAAAAAAAACCTTTGTCAGGTTAAATGGGACGGTGCTGCATTTGTGTCTCTGTCATAGGCCACGTAGTACCTCTCTCAGTGGGTTGATATCTCAACACTGTTCATTCTGGATTAAGTGTCTCTTCTTGCTTATGATGTCCTTGCACCCTCTCTGCAATGATAATTCAGACTACGAGGAGCTGCGGTTGGGGGGGGTGGGGTGGGGGTCGCATTTCCAATGAAGATAAACTTCCTCTGTCCTTTGGGGATGCCTGAACGGAAAGTTTCCTTCTGGAGCTCTGCTAAACAAGATATTTTTTTTTTTACTTCCCCAGGAAGGAAATAGAACAGTTTCCCAATTTTCCCTGCTTGTCAGGAGGCTCTGGGAGCAAGCTGTTGCAGATCTTCTGAGTCCGAGTGCAGAGTACTTTTTCATAACAGAAATCATTTCCCTAACATTAGAGGTTGTTTTTCCTGGATAAGCATGAGTGGAGTTCATTTACAACTGGGTTTTCCAAAGTGAGATCTGGTCACAGTTCCTTAGGAATTAAAAATCCTGCAGAATCAGAGGAGGAGGAGGAGGCCATTCCCTGGAAGGAAACACTAAGGCATCAGAATGCCCTCCCTCTTCCTGCTGAAGGTGCGATCAGGACACAAAAACAATGGAGGAGAGTCCCCCTGTGGCAGGAGGAAATGCAGCCAGTGTGGAAAAGACAGATGAAGCCACCGAGGCTGAAATGCTCAGCCTCACCAGTGGGGGTGTCCTGGGCAAAAATACGCGAGAACTACTCCTTTGCCAAAATGGAAGCCCCGTTTGGGAAACCATCCCCTCTTCTTACAGATGAATAGGGGCACTGAATTCAGGATATTGCCTTAAAAGTGTCCCTCTGGGGGGCGCCTGGGGGGCGCAGTCGGTTAAGCGTCCGACTTCAACCAGGTCACGATCTCACGGTCCGTGAGTTCGAGCCCCGCGTCGGGCTCTGGGCTGATGGCTCAGAGCCTGGAGCCTGTTTCCGATTCTGTGTCTCCCTCTCTCTCTGCCCCTCGCCCGTTCATGCTCTGTCTCTCTCTGTCCCAAAAATAAATAAACGTTGAAAAAAAAAATTAAGAAAAAAAAAAAAAGTGTCCCTCTGGGTTGCAGTTACCTCCTGTAAAATATAGTTCCTGTAAAATAAAGATGGGAGTTGTAACAGGATCTAGTCAGGAGACAGAAACCTAGAACATGAATAAAGAACTTACTATAAAGAACTGTTTGCTAGTATATAGGGCATCTAAAGTAGCAACTGCTAGAAGCAACCAGCGGCCCCAGGGCTGGGAAGACAAAAGGACCAAAGGAAAACTTCGAAGAGGGCTCTGCAGAGCAGAAACTGGCCCCTGAGGAAGGGTGCTGCCCGGCTAACGATGGTGTCTAAGGGGGACATGGCGAAGCTGGTGCTGGGTGCTGGAAGATCGGTGGGCCGCTACTGACGTGAGGAAGCACCGCTGGGTGATGCTCACAGGATCAGGAAGCGGACAGGAAGGAGCGAGTCCTTTTTTCTCCAGCCCTGCAGTCTCGTTCAAGTGCCTCCCGTTGGCATAACCTGGCTGGGAGTGGCTCGCAAAGCAGAAATGGAGCTTGCAGAGTGGCACAGAATAGAGGGTGGGTTGGAGCTGAGGGATTGATGAGGGAGCGTGGGGGGCAGGCTGAGGGCAAAATACAAGCTAACAGCACCCCCATCACAGGTGGAATGTGTGTGATAGTCCTCGGACACGCCCGGTTACCCAAGAACAAAGGAAAGGGGTTTAAGTGCTTGCCATGATGATGTGGGAAACTAAGGCAAATGTAAAATTAAATTCCCTTACTGCCTGTAGCCCATTGACAAGTCCTTAGGACCAGCAGAGTGACCTTCTCTAGGAACTCAGCTGCCTCAATGATGACACTATGCTAGGGGCAAAAGAGAACTTTGGCTTAACATTATCCCAACCTTGAGGATCCTGTTAAGTCTACTTCCTTTATCTCAACTGCCCCAAGATATATGCTGGCAATCATACTCCAAGCTTATGCCCCCCCCCCCCATATACATCTGAAGGGTCTTATGCCTGAGGTTTTACTAAAAGGTAATAAATGGTGTTTCCCTAGCAACAGCGAGCCCCTCAAGGTCCTGGAAACCTTGCTTCCCAAATACCTTAGAGACTTACTCTATCCCTGACCCCCTCCCAACCTGAGGGTATATAATGAGTTATCCGTCACAACCCCATGCAGCTCTTCCTGCCCATAGGTCCTGTCCCTGTGCTTTAATAAAGTCACCTCTTTGCACCAAGGATGTCTTCGAGAATTCTTTCTTGGCCGTCGGCTCCGGATCACCCCACTGTCACCCCCAGACTTCATCAGGATGATTACCTCAGACCTGGCACAGGGTAGGTCTCATCTCTAAGGATTCTAGAATCCTTCCTTCATGCTTCTCTTTGAAATAGGCTTTGTTCACCTATTTGTTCACCTATTTCTGTGAGATACTGGTAAATGTTCAACTGACCCTGAAGGTGAAGCCCAGGGAGGCCTTGAGGAAGAGGTGGTGGCCATCTGCCTTGAAGGGTTGAGACCTGCCACAGGTGTTCCAGGCTGACAAGGGACGCAGGGATGTGGAGTGAGGGGTGTGCGGTGTGGCAGGTGCTACTGAGACTGAAGGATAAAACAGAAGCAATGTCCCCGAATTGGAGTAAAAATGTCAACGGCTGGAAAAGAATGGAGAGGACTTAGGAGGGTCTCCAGGTAGGTCCCACATATGACAATTTGGGGGCCCAGAAAGAACAGAGAAAATCTTTTTTTTTTTTTTATAGTTTATTTTTATTTTTTTTGAGCCAGAGAGACAGAGAATGAGCAGGGGAGGGGCAGAGAGAGAGGGAGACACAGAATCCGAAGTGGGCTCCAGGCTCTGAGCTGTCAGCACAGCGCCCGATGCGGGGCTCGAACTCACGAACGGTGAGATCATGACCTGAGCCAAAGTCGGTCGCCCAACCGACGGTGCCACCCAGGCGCCCCATGGGTCATGCGATGTTTAAAAGACAACAGAACAACCCTCACACGTACGCCTTTCCAAGAAGCTGTACTGGTCCACACCAAGACCCTGCTAGGTGCCCAAGTGCCCTGAACCCCATGCTTCCAGGCCTCCTTTGTGGCCTCGCCCACTCACTGCCTGGTGTGGCCCCATA